TCCAACATCTAATTTAGCGTAAATTTATCGAAAATAAGTTTATAATTATTAATATTTAAATAAGTTTAATGATCATATTACTTTGTAAAATTAGTATTTTATGCATAATCCTAAATCATAATCAATGATTTTTTTATTGTAATGTCAACAAAAGTATTATAAAAGTTAACAACAATATCTAATAAAATTGTTTCCTCTATTTCTTTTTTAAAAATGTTTTTAAATATATAGTATTTATAAAATTTACAGTTATATTAATTGTATTTTTACCTTTTAATTATATTTATTGTAAAAATAATAATAAATTATTAAAACGATTTTGTATGATTAACAAAAAATTAATAAATTTATTAAAACTAAAAAATATTTATTTAATTAATTTTATCATAAACAACCACTAATATAAAAAGAGTATTTTATGACGTTTTTAATTCATCCGTCATACTAAATTGGAATGTAGCAATTTTATAATTAAAATTCATTTTTGATGACTTTTTATGTCGGTTTAAAATTGAACCATTATAATAAATAGATTTTATGCCAGTTAAGTAAATCTATGTTGATTTAATTTTAAACCGTCATATTAAATGTTTTATAAATTATAATTTAGACACTTTTTATATCAGTTTGATTATGAATCGTCATAATAAATACTTATTATGACGGTTCATCTTTAAACTGATATAGAGAGTAACTTTGTCAATTTTAAATGAGACACTTTTTATATCGGTTAAAATTGAACTTGTCATAATAAGTACTTACTATGACGGTTCAAAATTGAACCGACATAGAAAGTTCTTACTATGATGGTTCAATTTGAACTATCGTAAAAAATATTCAGATTTAAAATATTTAGCTTCATTTTATTTTCTTCATCTTTCTCATTTTCTATCTTTATTCCTTATGTGAAGAATTCTACTTAACTTTTTTCTTTCTTTTGTTTCATTCTTTAATCGTCATATTCATTTATTTTTATTTTTTTCATGTTTAAACCATCACTTCCCACAATCTTGCTACTTCCTCATTTACAACAAAAGTAAAATATAAAAACATTATCTCATTTTTTTATATTAGTTTATATTTCCTAATTTGGTTTAATGGAGTTATCTAATATGTTATATTGCAATTATTATTATAATTTTTTATGAATAATTTTTAATCCAATTTAATTGAACATATTTACATTTTATGTTTTCGATACGTGGACAATGCTTGTATTTAATTTTTAAAATTTGTTACAGTAAAACTGTTTGATAAAATATTTGTGAGAAATATGATTATATAAAAAATATTTAATACAAAATATTGTATGACGATTATATTAAGAACTTACATAATAAATATTTATTATATCAATTATTTAATAACCGACATAGAAAATTATATTTTTTATATCACTTATATATCTTTATTGAGTAGAGAAACGATATAAAAAATGTAAAATAATAGTTATAAAAATTATTTTTTCACCAATAAGCGTGTATTAATAGAAGATTATAAAAAATTAATAAATTTATCTTACAGTGTAGATAATTATATAAAATTATAGATTTTATCTCCATAATTTAATTTTTTTTACAGAAAATCTCATTTCCTAATTTACTAAATTCAACGTGTAGAATCTCAGGAATCAATTTCAAATTCAAATGTCTCTATTTATCATTGCAAACTTTTTACAATGTTCTTTCATACAACACTATACATCTTCTCTTCGAGAAAAACTTAAAAAAAAAATTGCCGGATCGAGTCTGATAACACATTGAAAAATAACAATAATAACGAGAATTTACTGTGGTAAATGAAAGCTAGGCTTTTTTTGTATAATCCTCTGTGTCAGCATATTGTGGCAATCAATCCAGTTTCAAACTAGAAAAGTACAATACTACCACCTGACATTCTTTGGTAGCTTCTTTGAAATTTCCTCATAATCATTGTCTTTGTCCTATTTCTATACACCCTCACCCCACACAATTGCCTCTACTTCTTTCTCAAAGCTCATAATCTCACCTTGGATGCCCTAATGGGATTTCACCACTCAAATTTGAAAATCCAAACCAAACTTTCACAGATAAAGTAGATTTAAAATTTGCTTTCTATAGCTACTGCAAAATTAATTCTATCTCATGTCTTTCTACCTACTTTATTAATCTTTCATTTCCTTTCACATTCTCTGCATGCCATACGAGCCTTCCAAGATTAAAGAGTTTAACTTTCCGCAAATTATTGAGTGTTGTATTCTCGAGAAACATTTTTTTTTTCATTGCCAAACATAAACTATTAAAAACCCAAAAATCCATCATTAAAATCGCTATTAAGAGAGTGATTATGTACAGACTATTTTGTTTTTGTTAAAAATCATTTATCAAGTCCCAAAAGTAGCTTTCAAAACTGAGATTGTTCATTTTCTTGGTTTTTAGATGTTAGCACGAGTCTGGATACCCTCTTTCTGCATGCGTGTATTATGAAATTTCGCCATCAAGTTTATAGAAGTGGGGTAGAAATTAGTTATATTAGTTTTCATTTGATGTACGCCATTGTTCTCGTAAGGGCAACTGATAGATAGAGTTAGATATTTTGAAAAAAATTGCTTACAATGATGTTAAACTGTAAATGTTTAAAAGTAGGCATATATTTAGAGTTGATGTATTAGCGTAAGGAGAGTAGTGCGAAGAAGGGGAATAAAGAAAGAAGATAAAAAAGGTGATGGAGTCAGAGACTTTCAGGTGAGAAAGTAGTGAAAAGCAGGGTAATGATGTTGATTCCTTCGAGTGTAGCTTGCTGGTGGAAGGGAAAGAGAGAAAAAAGAGAGACACATGCATATAACAGTTAGTACATTTGAAAGGCTTTTTCTTTCCAAAAACTATCATAAGTAGTAGGATAGGATAGGCTTATGCATTTATGCTACAACATAACTGCTGCTACTATGCCCTTGACTTTTCCTTCTCTGCTCATATCAATCAATAAATTAAATCAAATAAATAAAATAGTTTTTCTATTTCCGTGGTTCACCCTTTTCTTACATTCTTTTTCCTTTCAAATCTTTCTCTCGCTATTAACAACCAACAACAGTGGAGTCAAAGTCCACCAATCAAGGAGAGAGAGAAGTACGTGGCAGTTAATGCAAAAACGTGAAGTGGGTTGGTGCGAATGTGAAAAAAAGCAAAGTGAGGAAGCCCCTGAAAAATGGCACCGACACAACATTGCATGGCTACACGAATTGACGTTGTGACTTTGTATACGTGTGTTGTGCGTACTATGTAACATGTCACATAGTTACGCCTCTCGTTTTTGCTTCCTCCATCGACAATCTTTCATACAGCGTTCAAAATCGCTTTTGTGTTCACACCTTCGTCCAACCTAGTTTTTGCTTCCTCTCATGCTTTACAAGGTTTCTTCTGTACGGACACGCCAAGCTTTTAGTTTTTCTAACCATCTCAAAATTCTAACCCTGAAATTTTACTTCTTTCGTTTTTTTTATATATATATATATTTTTTTTTTCATGACTTAGCTTTTTAGTTTCTCTTTAAACAATCAAAGGGCTTAATATTATTTTCTTGAATAAAATTTAAGTTAAGGAAGGAAACTGTGTTTTTTCCATTAGTGCTCTTGCTGTATAGGAAATGTTAATTTCATTGTTTTTTTTTTTAATTTAGTTTTACAAATATATTAAGTTACATGTAAAAAATCAATAAATAGTGCTAATACTATTTTTTTTTTTTTTTTTTTTGAGGGGGTTAGAAGTCCATCTTTCTGTTGTCTAAGTAGGTCCCACGCTGACCACCACCACTTCAGTTCCCTTACGTATGTTTCTTCCATTAAATGATTTTTTGTACGTCTTTTTCGCTTGGGGCATTCAATTTTTGTTTCAACCACAACTTCTGATATTTTTTTTTTCTTTTTCTTGTCTTATTCCTCCGCCTTAAATTTCTCAATTGATAGGATTAGGCCCATCACGTGAATCATAACGGGGCCTTTTTTTTTATGATCGGCCTTAAATTACTCAATTTATAGGCCTAGGTCAATCACGTGGTTCATAAGGAGGCCTTTTTTATTGTCTTTTTCTTAATTTTTTTGTTTAATTCTGCCTCAAAGTACTCAATTCATAGGCCAGGCCCATTGTGTGGTTTGTAACGATGCCATTTATCTATATTACTGGACTTCTAAAAAAAAATCATGAACCTTTATTAGGTTTAGGCCCGTGTACTACTAGAAACAGGGTTCATAAGTGATTAGTTGATTAAGACAATTCACGGGCAGAAGCAAAGTAAAATTATTTAGAACAAAACTTCAATACAGTAATACTGATATTATTGGTGCTATTTTTTTAAATTATATTTAAAATTTTACCTTGATATTACATCATATATTTAATTAAAATAAAATTTCAAATTTAATTGAAAAAAAAATCAGTCGTAGTAAACTTTTGTTCAATTATTTATAAGATCTTTGAGTGAACATCATTTTGGGGAAGGGCATCTTTCCCTCTATTCTACTTTATCAGTCCCATTGTGTTTCACGTTTAAAATTTTGAGACAAGAATTAAAATAATGTAATTCATGCTTTATATTTTATTACTACATCTCTTATCTTTTATAACGATTATATTCTCTCAAATTTATACTCACTTTTTTTTTTCTTTTGTTTTTCTCCTTCCCCAATAAATAGTTAAAGTTATAATGATAAAAAAAATTGAATTTTTATAAGTATTATAAAACGACAATGACAATTTCTTTTGGTTATAATAAGTAGACAGAAAGTAGTCAAACGGTAAAGTATCAAACACAACCAAATACATGAAACATTAACCTGCAAACTACACAAATTAGAAGTTAGCGACCTACTATGGTAAAATTGAAAGACTAATAATTTTTTGATATACTAGTTGAAAATATTGGATCAATTCGGGCCATAGTCATTGTGCTATTTATCTGTCTCTGCTGATAGAAAAAGGGCATATATGTTGCAGTGACATGAAGATGAAGAACTTGTGTACAAAAAACTAGTTGGCTTGCATCACCTTGGACTAAAAACAACATGCTGTACAAATTAAAAATAAGGAAGTTAGTCATATCAAGAAATGAATGCCAGGGACCTTGCAGAATAATGCTATAAGAATAGAAAGAATTTACACCTGCTATACAAATTTTAAGCTGTACCTTTATTTGTGTCCTATTATATGTATAGGTGATATGTATTAGTCCATCACTAGCTTGGATAACAGCAGGATATGAGAATTCCATTCCTAATGTATCCTCCAATGTAAGTGCTTCATGCCAGGAATCACCATCATCCTCGGAGAGAGCAAGTTTAAGCACACCCCTTGAAATTGTATTATAAGCAAGCAATATTGGGCCATCTCTCAGCTTAACTCCATCTATACCTAATGCAACAAAAGATGTTTCTTAAATGAGCCACTGATGTATGCATGAGGATGTAAAATATATATGTAGCACAGAACAAACAAGGAAAACAAGTCAACAACATAAGAAGTAAAGTGTAACAATCATAAGGCTAAGAGGGGAACCATCCCTCAAAAGCTAGCTCAAGAGGTTGGAGAACCTCCTACCTTATAAGGTCTCCCTGGTAAGGAGACCTCCCCAATGTGGGACTTGTTACAATACCACCCCGTTCGAAAGCCAGCGTCCTCGATGGCTGCACTCCACGACACTTCACTCACCGGCACTTCACTCATTGGCACTTCACTCGGCCTTCTTACCGGTCAGAACCCTCCAGTGGTCAGAACCCTCCGGCGGTCAGAACCCTCCGTGGGTAGCCCTTCTCGAGTTGGCTGGCTCTCAATGAAAGCACCATTTTGTAACGGATGAAAACAAAATACGATAACGGAAAGTAATTCTCTGCAGCAGTATTATTAAAACTCAGAAAATACTCAAGGTGGTAAGAGAATTACAGAGAATGATCAACACGTATGAATGAAAATGCCAAAGAGAAAAAGTTCAGAGAGAAAAGGTCCAGAGAGAGAAAAATGAGAAACCAATCGTTACACCCCCCTTTCTCTCTCCCCACAACAAACAATTTATACTAAACTCTTGACCAATCAAAATCCCTCAACCTAGAATTAGTTATTTTAATTCTTGTGCTTTTCCTGCCTCCATGATCTGCCAGGTATCCTTGCTGCATAACATCAGTATTTGATGCTTTTACCCCTCTGTTATGAAGTTGTTGGTTATCAGTCTCATTGACACTTGTTATAGTTGTTCTTCCCCCATTAAAATGAACCTTGTCCTCAAGGTTAAATACTGGAAAAGCCTGCTGCAAATTATCGTGATCTTCCCATGTAGCAGCAGATACATCTAATCCTTCCCACTGAACCAGATGTTGCGGAATCTGCTCTTGGCCTCTCATTATCACCCGAGATTGCAGAATGGAGACAGGTTGAATGACAGGGAATAATTCATTGTGAATAGGCAATGGAATATAAGGTTGCGAATGATCTCCCTTACAAAGCTTTAACTGAGAACAATGAAAGACCGGATGAATTCGGTTTCCTTGGGGCAACAACAGCTTGTAAGCAACCTGTCCAATTCTCTCGATTACTGCAAAAGGACCAAAATATCGTAAACTCAGTTTCTGGTTTTTCCTTAGAGCAACCGAATGCTGCCGATAGGGTTGCAATTTCACCAAAACCATATCACCAATGTTCAACTCAAAGAATCGCCTCTTCTTGTCAGCGTATTTTTTCATGTACTGTTGAGCCTTATGCAAGTTAATTTTTAATCGGTTCAGAGTCAAATCTCGCTGCACTAGCTGTTCTTGGACTAAAACAGGATCGTGGCTATCCAGTTTGTATTTAGTCAATGTAGGAGGGTCTCTACCATAAACAATTTTAAAAGGGGTCATGCCACTACTGTGGTGGTAGCAAGTATTATACCAATACTCAGCCCAAGGTAACAGCTTTGACCACGCTTTAGGAGAATCATAAGTAAAGCATCTCAAATACATTTCCAAACACTTGTTTAAGGATTCAGATTGCCCATCGGATTGTGGGTGGTATGCAGTGGTCATATTCAAGGACGTACCACTCAATTTGAATAGTTGCTGCCATAGTTGACTAGTGAAGATCCGATCCCTGTCAGACACGATTGATTTTGGCATGCCATGTAACTTAACCACATTTGTCATGAAAATTTCAGCTACTGAGTTACTGGTATAGTCCGACTTCAAGGGAGAAAAATGGGCATACTTTGACAGTCTATCAATGACCACCAGAATTACAGTAAAGCCATTAGAATTAGGAAGACCAGTAATGAAATCCATTGCTAAATCTTCCCAAATCTGATCCGGAATTGGAAGCGGTTGTAATAACCCAGCAGGAAGCGTATTAGCCACCTTGGCCTGTTGACATATCAAACAGGTTTGCACAAACTCCTTAATATCCTTGTGCATTCCTTTCCAATAAAATTGAGCTGCTATTCGTGCCAAAGTTCTGGTAAAACCCGCATGGCCGCCTATCAACGAACTATGGAACTCGTGTAAAATTCGCTTAACCAATTCATGTGCAGCAGGAATAACCAACCTGCCCTTCCAATACAGCAACTGATCATGCACTGAATAGTGGGGGTCTGGAGGTTTGTTAAGAAGACATGCATCCATAATAGCCTTTAATGGTCTGTCTTGTGAAACAGCGGCTCTTAACTGTGGTAGAATATGAAACGCAGGCTGAGACCAAGCTGCATAAAAAGATCGGGATAAGGAATCAGCTGCAAGATTGTCCTTTCCCGGCTTATATTCGATGTGGAAATCATATCCTAACAATTTAGGCAACCACTTCTGTTGCTCGGGTGTCTGAATTGTTTGATCAGTTAAACTTTTCAAACTCTTTTGATCGGTTCGAATCACAAATTTATGGCCCAGTAAATAATGTCGAAACTTTGCAATGGCGGCTGTGATAGCATAAAATTCCCTAGCATAGGCGGATTGCTTTTGCATTGTGGCATTGAATTTCTTGGAGAAAAAAGCAATAGGATGCGAATCCTGACTAAGGACAGCACCAATGCCCAGGCCCGAGGCATCGGTTTCTAACACGAAGGGTTTAGAGAAGTCTGGTAAGGATAGTACTGGTGCTTGAGTAATTGTCGTTCGCAACCTCTCCAAAGCTAATGTAGCCGCATCATTCCAAGTAAAACTACCTTTCTTTAATAAATTTGTTAAGGGTTGAGCAATCACTGCATATCCCTTAATAAATCTGCGGTAGTAACCCGTAAGACCCAAGAAGCCTCTCAATTGTTTCAGATTTTTTGGACATGGCCACTGTAAGACAGCCTGCACCTTATCCTGATTCATTGCCACACCTTGGGCGGAAACGGTATGGCCAAGATAATCCACTTGCTGCAACCCAAAAGAACACTTAGAGAACTTGGCAAATAGGTGATGCTGCTGCAATTTTTGCAACACTACTTCAAGGCGTTGTAAATGAGCGGGCCAGGTAGGACTGAAAACTAAGATATCATAAAAAAATACAAGCACAAATTTCCTCAACATATCCTGGAAAATGTCATTCATTAAACTTTGAAATGTGGCCGGTGCATTGGTGAGACCAAACGGCATCACAACCCATTCATAGTGGCCTTGATGGGTGCGAAAAGCGGTCTTAAATCGATCCTCTTCATTCACTAATATCTGGTGATAGCCGGAACGGAGATCCAATTTCGAAAAGAAGTGGGCCCCATGTAGCTCATCAAGTAACTCGTCTACAGTGGGAATGGGAAAACTATCTTTAATAGTTATAGCATTCAAGGCTCTATAATCAGTACAAAACCTCCAAGTGCCATCTTTCTTCTTGACAAGGATTATTGGAGACGAAAAAGGACTAGTACTAGGTACAATAATTCCTTCATTCAACATTTCCTGAACCATAATCTCAATTTGGTGTTTTTGGCTGTGAGGATACCTGTAGGGGCGAACCTTCACCGGGGCGGAACCGGGTAGCAAAGGAATAGAATGATTGTGGGACCGATTAGGAGGTAATCCAGAAGGCACCGAGAATACCACTCTATATTTATTCAACACTTCTGCCACTGCTGGTTCAATTGTAGGAGGTAACACCAACCCTTGATCCGAAGAATAGTCTAGCTGCTGAAATTGCAGTGTGAATAATTCCTCTATAGCATGCGTTTGGTGCATTCTTCTCAGGTGATGGAACTGAGCGGGCAGTGGTAAGGATGGATGATCTCCATGCAATGTGACGAATTGATTGCCCACGTAAAACTTAAGTGTAAGTTTACTGTAATCAGAAATATGGGGTCCAATCGTGGCTAACCACGCAGCTCCCAACACTAAGTCAGCGCCAGTAACAGGTAAGAGATACACAGGCAATTTCAAGAGGTGACCTTGAATCGTAACCTCCAATTCGCTTACCTTCCCTTCAGCAACTAATGCACTACCATTGCCGACCAACACTTGAAAATTAGGAATTGGCTCAATAGGCAACTTTAAACAATGAGCCAAACGGGGTTGCAAAAAATTATCACTGGAACCACTATCCACTAAAACTTGCATTGTCATGCCATTGATAGAACCCGTAAACTTTAGAGTACCAAAGCCAGAGGATCCTTTTAAGGCATTATACGATAGATGATGTTCTTGGGCCAATTGCAATACTAGCGGTTGCTCGCTATCTGGAGGCTCAGGTTGTAACTCAGCATTATCCTCATCCTGCCATTGGAGAAGTAAATATTGTTTGTTGGGACATTTATGAGTAGGGGAAAACTTGTCCTCACAAGTATAACAAAGACCCTTTTCTCGCCTAAGCTGCATCTCGGCAGGGGTCATTCTTTTTATATTGGAATTTTTCAAGGTTATGGAACCAGACTGTAGAGGGGGATTAGATAGGAGTGGAGGGAGGCTAGTGGATTTTAGGGTCTGATTGATAGGAAAGGAAGTGTTTGCAGCTGGTGTTTTGGAAGCTGGAAAATTATGGTACGGTTTGGATTTGGCAACATACTTCTCCTCATATAACTTTGCCAAGGAGACAGCTCGAATCAATGTAACAGGTGATTGAGCAATGACATCTCTTCTAATATCAGGTTTTAATCCTCCCACAAAACAATCTAATAAGGCCTCCGACGATATACCTTGAACTCTATTAGCTAAAGCAGTGAATTGAACATAATAGTCATGCACAAAACCTGTTTGTGTAAGTTTGAATAAATGGGAACGTGGACACTCATATGGTGATGGGCCAAACTCCATTTCTAACGCTCGAGTAAAAGCAACCCACGAGTGGAAGGAATCATGACGCGTCATCATCTGATACCAAGGAACGACGTCTTTGTCGAAATGAATGGCAGCAATGGTGAGTCGATGGTCATCCGGTGTATTGTAATAGGAGAAAAACTGTTCTGCTTTGAAAATCCACTGCAGCACCTCCGACCCATCGAAACGCGGAAAGTCCAGCTTCACGTTACGCACTTGAAATGGTGGCGACACAGTGGAATGTTTGTGCTCTTGCTCCAGATTCTGCTTCAAGAGGCTATCTACCGCAGCTTCTAACGTTTCGAATCGCATGGCATTTTCTTTATCCTTTGTCTCCATGAATTCTAGAATCCGTTTCACCTCCGTTGTGAGTTCTTTCAGGCGGGTATTCTCAGCCATAGCAATGAAAGCACCAATTTGTAACAATCATAAGGCTAAGAGGGGAACCATCCCTCAAAAGCTAGCTCAAGAGGTTGGAGAACCTCCTACCTTATAAGGTCTCCCTGGTAAGGAGACCTCCCCAATGTGGGACTTGTTACATAAAGCAATTCAAGATCAACTTTTTTCTTGTAGTCCAACTAAACACAAGAGCAAGCAACATGAATAGTTTGGAAAATTAACCTGAGTTTGGGTTGGGGAGTTGTGTAGGTCTTGCATACCCCCAAGTTTTGCCACCATCAGAGGATTCTGATACATAAACTCTACCAAGGCCAGTAAAGGATCTAAGCAAAACACGCAGTGTCCTCTTTTCAGTCAGGTATGGTACTGGCTGAATCACACCAAGAGGTATGTTTTCAATGAAAATTGGGCCATGCTTTCTCCATGTCCTGCCAAAGTCTGTCGTAACCTGTTACCATGACACAAGCTACAGAAGTTAACCAGCTAATCAATATGAACTTGAATTACATGACTAAGATCTCGTTCCATAAGACACCTCTGCCCATGCTCCCCAGGAGTTCCAGCTTTCAACAGAAGATCCACACAGTAGGTCACCATTTTCTAGCAAGAGAGGCTGAGAAACAGTCATTAAAATCAGTACCAAAAACAATTATTTTTCCTGACTATGATGAGTTATAAACCCCAAGGCCAAAGGTATAGACGATAATTTCACCTTATTCTTGATAGGTCCTAATATACCAGGAGGAAGTTGTTCTCTTTTTGTCCAGGTAATTCCTTTGTCATTTGAGCGTTTCATGAATCCACTCCACCTGAAATTTAACACTCAATTCTTCTCATTTATTCGAAATTAACTAGAGCCTCATATAATATGACTACCAAACTGATTAAGAGAAAACGCTTGATTCAGTAAAGAAGGCAAAAACATTTTAAGATGAATATTGAATTGATATTAAAACAATTATATAAAGAGTTTTCCAGATTTCCAGTTCCTCAATTACAAGTTGTTGTAATTTAAAATAAGAAATTTCTAAAATAAATTGTGCTTTGTCCATGACTGAAAAATTAATACGAATTTAAGATTACCTACATTTTACTACAGAGTGATATTCAGCACCAAAACATTGGATCTCAGTCTCTGGAGTATGACATATTCATATTTGGGAATGTAGACTTTCCATGATAAAGCATGGTGCTACCACTAGCTGAACCCTTACATAGTTTCCATTTTAGATAATGAGTACTCGATATAGATTTTACTACATAGAGATTAAGTACCAAAACATGTTCAGTTAATGGATTGTCACATTTATATTTGGGAATGTACACAATGCACAAGATACGGTGCTATCACTAGCTCAACCCAACTTCTTTATTACAGAGATTCCATTTTAGGTATTGGAATGCAACTCTCTAACTTTCATTGTCGAATAATACACTTCACAAATTCATAACCGTAAACAGATACAAAAGAACTCATGAAAACAAAAAATCTAAGTTGACATAGTTGGGAATCATAGTCAATCTATCCATCCCACTTTATGTAGGATGTTACAGAATAAAGAAAAAGGTGGGAAATATTCTTATAATTGCAATTTTGCATACAATAAAGGATACACTCCCCTACGTGCAAAAGAAAAGGCCCAGATTTTGAAAAGAAAAATGGCATTATTAACATGTTAAATAGGCTAATATATTTTGGAACAAGTTTGAAGGTTTATAAAGCAATTATTTCCTCTGGTTTTGTTTTCTTCAGAAACTGGGGAGATGTTGTGCTAATTGTTTTACTCCTTCCAATTGTCATGTTACTCAGCAAAAATTTGGCTCAAATTGCTCCGCAATTGCTTCAATAAAAGGAATCTTATCTTACCATCAAGTCATAGAGAATGGAAGCAACCAAAACAGATATGCACTCACAGACTCAAGAAGAATTTAAGGTTTGAAGCTTTACTTCTGAACATCTAGGCCTATTCTGTAGAACAGCAGTAACTCATTTGATGGAAGTTTGAACAGTACAGGGTTCCACATTGGAACATTTGATTCTTCATCAGCAATTATGGGTGATTTCCATCTGCCATTCTACCAACCAAATTTACATTCACAAACTAAAACGATCTGTCAAAACTTTAGAGCTAAGTAACATCTCCTGCCCCCAATGTTACAATGATAGGAATAGGAAACAATTAATATAAGAATGGTTACTGATTTGAAATCATATTATTCAGTATTCACATGCCGGCCACTTCATAGATTTATGTACATTCCAAGCGATTTATATGCATTCTGTAAATAAAAAGTTTAAAAATTATTAATTGCAGTTACAGAAAGAAGCATTTCCACTGATGACAACCAAGTAGAACCTCCAACTTCGAGTGAGTCACTAAATTTGTATTGCAAGACCAATCCATAGGCCATATGTATACTTTAGGCACAAACAAAAAGGGAAAACTAAACCAGGAAAATTTGGAAAAAGCTAGAGGTATAGGTTTGAAATTAGACATCAAAATTACTCTGATACACAACTGTAGCATTCCATCTATCTATATACACTGCTAGATTTAATTAGTTAATTAATATATATCTACCTTATAAGTCTGCAGCCATATTTTTACATCTGGTGCCCCCTCAGATGAGCCCCCGAAATAGGCAACCAAAAAATGGCCCTTCCCAACCTATAGAAGTCAAAATAGTTATAATTTGTTATGTTACTTGATACACAAACCCAATGTTTAATTAAAGCAAGGAAAATAACATAAACTACTTTGTAATTTACGACCTCAACAATGGTAGAAGCATGACAACTGATGAAGGAAGTTGATCTTTCAGGAAAAGTGAACTCCTCCACAACTGGCCCTTTCAAGTGGCCACTGTTTTTATTGCCTAAACCCTCCGCACCAGAATTTGTTGAATTTGGCCTGCATAAGTTTGCAACTCCATCTATCTTATTACTAGAATATTGAAGAACTAATTGTGAGACTTAATTGCTTCTCACTTGAGTCTCAGTTAGACCAAACGCCAGAAACTTAGAGAATCAAGTGAATATAAGCAAAAGGCATCAATATAAAAAGAATCATATACTTGAACCAGAGAAGATACAGAACACTAGATAATAATGTACGAAATCAACAAAATCAAATAATGTTAATGAGTCAAAGAGATAGGGTGTTTGCATACCCAGAAAAGGAGTAAGCTCTACGGATGATACTTATGAACGCCAAATATAGAAAGGTAAGAAACAATGACATGGTTCCACTTCCACACACTTCCCCTTACTGACACCTTCACGACAACTGTGATGAACGTGGGAGGGAAATACCACTGTAAAACTATATTCATATAACACTAAAGTTATATAATATTTTTTTAGTCTCCTTATCACATCACTTTTTTTTTTTTTTTTAAGGTTTTTCTTTTATTGATAAAAATTATATAAATAGAATTTCCCTAACCCCTTTCAAGGTTCAGTTTGGGAGTTGACTTAATATCTGCCCTCCAATTTTTCAAATGTCATCCTCTGCCGTTCATTTTATTTTATGTATTGACATGTTCTATGTTACTATGCTACCGTGCAGTTAGTTCATTAAAATATTTATCCCCTACGAGATTCCAATTCCGGTTTTAACCGTCCGTGAGCCAATCCAGCCCGGCTCATCAGGTGTCTAAATCAAGTTGTATTTGATTTTTTTTTTTAGGATAATGAATTAAAAATGAACTTTGACTTATCTAATTTACGAATTAAACGAGTTAAATCATTTTAAATTTTAAAAATAATTATAATAATTTAATAATTTTTTATTTTTTTCATTTTTATTTCATGTCAATATTATAAGTCAAAATCTCGCTTAAATTTATTATTAATTATTCTGCACATCATTACATTTATTGTTGTACCTAGGTCACTTATCATTCTTTTGTCACATTATTATATTATTATGTTCGTTGTATTTGTCACACCAATGTGTTTCAATTGCATTACAATGTTTGTTACGTTTTAGTTCTGCGTTTCAATTGCGTCATAATTTTTGTTGTCATGTCAATGTCATAGTGTTTCAGTGCCACATTTCAATCATGCTACAACATTTGTCATGTCATCGCATTCATCGCACCAGTGCATTCGTTGTATCACTACGCCGTCGTGTTTCAGTTATATCATAACGGTTGCTCATTTCAGTTGCATTAAATGTTTACTATGTTACTCTATTTCAATTGTATCATAGTATTTGGCACATTTCAATTGCATTAAACGTTTACTATGTCACCGTTTCATTGTGTTTCAGTCATGTTTATTAGAAATAAGAAAAAAATGTGGATGAGTGAGTTAATCCACTTAACCCACTAACTCGTAGTAAGTAGAGCAAGATTGTAAAATTTTTAGCTCGCTAGAAAGTGAACTAAGTTAAACTTGTCTATTTTTAACTCAATTCGTAGTGAGCAAACTTGTATAAGCCTGATTGATTCACTTTCACATCTCTATTGATAAACACCTTTGTATTTGAAAACAATAATCATCCTACCATCCAATCAAATATTTCATTGTAAATTATGTTAATAGTAAATAAAAGAATTTCATTAATTTCTAAAATTTTGTTAACTATTTTATAATTTGGTAATCAGGAAAATTAGGAATTGGAATTTACCTAGTGTAAGATGGTAAATTGTATTTGAAACTTATTAATATCCTAAAAAATATCTCAAACGTATATATGCATATTATACTTCTATACATATAATGTAAAAATAATTATTATATTAAAGAATTATGTTTCAAACAATTTAAGGTTTTATTTTTAATTATTTTTAATTATTTTTAAATATTTTAATGTTATGTTTGCGTGATTAAATAGTAAAATTATAATTTATTTTCACTATTTAGCTTTCTAAATGAAAAATATTATTATCGTAAAACGTTAGAAATCTCGTAATTAAAAATATGAGTAAATTGAAATATATAAATATTTTAAAAATAATTACGTAAGTATTGAGTTAGTTTAATGGCAGTTTTTTTTATATAAAATAATAATAATAATAAAAATAATCTATTTGACTTTTTAGTTATATATTATATAATTTCTTCAATTTTTAAAAATTATACATTTTTATATATTTTTTGTATCACTGTTTGTTTTTATAAATTTATTTCATGATTTTTTTAACTTAAAAAATAAATTATTTTATTTTTCATACGGGCTGTGCTATATCTTAAATGGTGGTAAAAAAAATAGTGATTTTTTTTTAAATATAAAAGTTGATTACATATGTCTACATCGTATTCACCTTAGACATGTCTCTGTATAAATAATTCAAAATTTAGCTTTAATATATAATAAATAAATAAATTGAAATGTAAAAATTAAATTGTAATTTGTAATAAATATTTACATAATCTTAAATTTGTATAACTAAAAAATACTAGGTAAAATAATATTTCATAATTTTTTAACATTTTAAAATATGATAACATTTATTTCGTAATAATATATATATATATATATATATATATATATATATATATTATTATTATCAAAACTTAATCGGATCAGATCGGTTAAACTAGGAATCGATGTAATAATTGATTTGAAACTCTCTAAAAATGAGATAAATAATAAATTGGTAAAAAAATCGATGAAACCAGGATAGGTCAAGGAGTTACCTTTTTTTCTTTTTCTAAAAAAGGAGCTAAATGACGTCATTTTTTTCTTTAGTTTAATATAGAGACACAAATACGAAGAGAGAAAGTTATTTTTTTGTACCAGTGGTGATATTTCTTTTTACTAAATCTTCGCTCTTACAATTGTCATCGTCACTGTCACCCACTGTCTTTGATTCTTTCCTTTCGATGTCACCCTTGTTGTCGTCGCTATTTACTATTATCATTACTATAATAATTCATTGGAAATACGATAACATGTAAGAATCACAATCTCTTAATCTTGAAAATTAATCTGATGAGTGGACAATGAGTTATCTTTGGGTTTCATAATTATGCCTTCAAACTAAAAAAAGGAAAATATACTAAATTTAGTAAATTATCTTCTCATCGATATGTTGCTTTCATCAAGATCGAAGCTCAATCATAACGTAATTTTCTTGTTTCTGAATGGACTTTTTTCAATTCCTTTAGGTTTCTTTTCTATTCTAAGTAAAGATATTTTTGATTTAAAATTGCACATATAGAACAAATGTTTTAATATTAGGTCTTTCTGTTAAAACTTCTTTTTTTTTCTCAATTTCTTATTTCATGTTTTCTGTAAAATAGAATATATGAATATGTACAAGCAGTGATTTTAGACGTATTACCAATTATTATTTTTTTGAAATAAAATAAAATATATAAAATTTGAAGTTAGATGTAATAGAAAGTATGATGTAATTTTCTCCCTTAATTGTTTTCAAGGTAAATGTAATTTTTTTCCTAATTATTTTCAAGTTAGATACTGACGACAAATTTTTCCTCCGTACTCCAAGTGTTTGATGATATATTTATTCATGTTTTTTTTATGTATCATACAAATTATTTTTATTGTTATATAATACTTTTCCAAATAACATTTATATTATATTGGATTTATTAGTATGTTGTAATAAACCTGTATTAAATTTAATATATTATTATATTATTAAAATATATTATTTTATTAAACTGGTTCAACTCTGTTTTAATTTTCAATTAAACTCCGGTTAAACCTTTCAACTCTAAACCTATACATTCATCAATTTAATGTTTAATCCAGTTCTAAGAACCATGATAATATATATATATATATATATATATATATATATATATATAAAGACGTGCTTAAATTTTTCCAAACACGTACTTAATACCTAAATCAACATCGACAAGAAATTTTTATTATAGTTTAAGTTAGTGTTAAATTGTGTATGTATCTAATTTTTATCAGAAACATTGGATATGCAAATTACTCTTATGTATTACTACTAACATTACACATAATATAAGAATTGACTATAACTTTATACATTAAAATAAAATTTTATAATATTTCCAATGATTTGTTGAACTTATAACCATGCGAAAATGAAATAATATTAAAACTAGTATAAGAGTGAGAATAGAAAATACAGTTTTATTTCTTTTAAACAACAAAATTGGTTGAACGAGTGGGAAAGTGCAAAAATCATCTTTTTAATTGACTAAGCTATAACATAAAGGACAAAAAAGGATCTATACCTTTTTTAGGTACTAATTTCTACCAATTCTTTTTGTTTGTGTTTTTTTAGGACTAAACTAATAATCAATACTATTACTAAATTTTTAAAATAATGGAAAGTTTTCAAAAATATATAACATGTAATCGCTGACAATGATTATTGATTTCTTTTCATTAAAGTACTTTGAAAGAAAGGAAACACCAACAACCAAAGTTTGAGTTGGCTTTTTTATTGATCAAAGGATAGTACATGTGATAATGTAGACGGATTAAAAAAACTCGGTTGTGTCTGCCGTTTCGAAATGAAACAATTTAGTCCACATCAACTTGGTCGAAGAACGACATGCTGCCACAAAAACAGATTGGGGATTAATATTATCAGGAAATGCATGAAACAAATTGCAGAGTAATTCACAAAAAGAAACTCAACCATCCTCCAATAATAATATTTTGAGTTTGTACCTTAATCTGTTTCCTATCATATGTATAGGTGATATGTATTCGGCCATCACTATCCTGGATAACAGCAGGATAAGAGAATTCCATTCCCAATGTATCCTCCAATGTGAGAACCTCGCACCAGGAATCCCCATCATCTTTAGAGAGTGCCACTTTAAGCACACCCCTTGATACAGTATTATAAGCCAGTAACAACCGGCCATCTCTGAGCTTAACCCCATCAATACCTAGTAAACAAGGTAAGATAGATGTGTCATTAATGCACAAAATAGACAAGGTGGAAAATAATGAAAAGGGATTCTCAGGGTGTAGTAAAAAACTTAACATTTGAAGTTGCCGGTGATCAACTAAGTTCTTACTGTTAAGTTAAACAATTGTCATAATCATGCAGCAAAATTTGAAAGCAATATATAGTTCGCAAAATTGACCTGAATTTGGGTTAGGGAGCTGGGTAGGTTTTGCATATCCCCAAGTCTTGCCACCATCAGATGATTCTGACATACATACTCTACCAATGCCATCAAATGATCGTAGTAAGACACGTAGTTTCCCATTAGCAGTTTGATAAGGTACTGGTTGGATCACACTCAGAGGTTCATTTTTAATGTAAATTG